AGATGGTGGGCCAGGAAGGCAGGCATTCGCTTTGGGCCCAGAACCTGCCACCAAACCTGTTCTTTGGCCCCCACTTGGCCCCTGGAGGCTATTTTTAGCCTCTCCCTTTACGGGTCTATTTTGTTAATCTCTTTACATTTGCTGTGTAGACTTCCCAGCCAGCTTGCTAATCAGCTTGCCTGTTTGACTCACAGGATTCGAATTTGTCACCGTGACTTCAACACACACACTTGTTTTGATTTCTTTTTGTAAAATTAGAAGCATTTGATGTCATGACTCTACCTAGACACAGCTGGTAAAGTGAGAAGAATGCTCAAGTTTGCACAGTTTAAACACAATGTAGACAATAATTAGAAATGCTATCTTTAGATGTTTAGGATAAGCTATTTCTCAGAATTGCAGTGAATTTTTCTGAGCGGGGCTTTTCAGTACATATATATATATACACACAGAAATACTGAAAATGTGAGAAAATAGAGCAAATCAGTGAGTACTTGGATCAACTTGAAAGATTGCAGGAAATAAATGAACTGATTTTAGATCTGGCATTTTGGACTGAATGCATAAAATCTTTACATTCTCCTTAATTTTCATGATGAGCATATGAGCTAATAATTTTAGGTGATAGATTGTAACTGATTAAGTTGCTACAATATGAAGAAACGCTCAGCCTATGTTTGGCCTGCAGCGAGGGTGGAGAGAGAGAAATGACCCAAATAATCAAGATAATTAAACATCTATATAAGGAAAATTACCACATATTTATTTCAGGTAACAAAAATGATACAGTCATGACACATGATGATCATAGAATCCAATACAGCAAAGCCTATAAATGAATAGAAGTTACTTCTTTTTTTGAAATTAAACTACAAAATAGCAGCTGTTTTGCCTTTTTTTAAAAAGCCAATTGTTTTAAATTTAATAGGCTACCACTGGCCTTGGCTAAGATCCCCAAAAATGCATATTCCTGGGCTCACTTAGGTTCCAGAAAGTCAAACTTGTCAGTGGTATACAAACATTCACTGTGCATTCCAAAACATTCTCATTTAGTAAAGAGGTGATATAGAATGTAAGGCAGCGCATCAATATCTATCATTTTAAATTGCCTTCATGCTGTATCAATGTGGTTTGCTTTGTTTTTGTGAGCAATCATAATATCCAGAGACGGGTCCTTCTTATTCTTCCTGCTTCTCGTTTCTATTTAGATTCACTACTGAGCTCTCTATTGCATCTCTCTGATCTTCACATTTTTCTTTGTTCAGAAAGACATCTGGAAAAAAGGGAATATATTAGCCGAGTGAGTTAAGGGGACTCCTCTGCCTTTTTGACATCCCAAGGTACCCTCCATATTATTAAGGAGGCTTCCCGAATAAAAGCAGAGGGAGAAGATGCTCAGAGAGAGACCTCTTTCAAAGAGAAGTAGGGTACCACGCCAGCCCCAGGGCTGCCGGAAAATGGTCAAGCCAGGAGGAAGGGCCATTTTTTTTTTTTGGAGGAACAAAAAACCGAGAGGAGCCAAGTCATGCTGTAATTTTAAAGAGACAGGGAAGTAGCCGGTCTTTGAAACTCCCATGGGGAATCGGGGTACCTATCCTCCATGCTCCAGTAGGAAGAAAACATCCGAAAATGCACCCCAACACGTGAATGACAGATACCAGAACCCTTTTTTAGAACTTCCCAACGCGATGGTGGTGTGTGTTTGGGAGAGAGGGCGCAGAAAAACAATGACAGGAAAACGAATTTGGCTTATTTAAGGTTGCCAACTGGGCTGAAGTTCCAGCAGGGGTTGAGCTGAGGGCCATGAGGAGCCTCCCTGTGGAGAGGCTTTGGGAATAGCTGTGCCAGCCAAGAAGAAAGGGGGAGGGGGAGGGACAGAGAGGCTTGGAAAGGGAGAGGCGTTAGGGATGAGAAATGCCTGGTTTGCAAAAACCAATCCATTTCCGTGGGCCTTAATTAAAAGAACGACAAACACTCATATGTAAAAGTCCTCACCTAAAGGCTCCCGGGTACAGAGAGATCGCCAGAAATGCAGGCCGTGCGAACACGCTTTCATTAAGAGACCTGTCAGCTCTGTTTCATTTACCCAGACGGCTCTGCATTCTGCTGGCAACCAGGCTGGAAAAATAATGGCAGGACAGACACACTTGAGGAGGTAAACAAAGGTGGGAGCGTTCCAGCTTCGAAATAGGACGGATGATAGAGAAGCCAGGAGAGAGGGGAGGGGAGATGGCATTCTTCTTAACTAACAAAACACACACAACCACCACCACCCTCCCCCCAAGGCCACCCTCATCAGTAACATAATATTCTGGCTTTTTAAGGGGAAACAAATTTTAAAAAAACCAGACCTGGGGTTCAGTGACAATGCTGTTGATGGCCTCCTACTCAAATCTATTCTCAACTCGCCTATGCTTCTCAAGACCTGATTTTGTTTTGGTGTTTACCCTTGTAGGGTCTACATGTTCAGGGACAGGGCCCCTCCTCAATTTGTGAACCTAAACCCAGGACATACTTTCATCTCCCTTGCCAGGGATTGGTTTAGACATAGGCGTGTGACAATTATTACCAATGAAATACTACAAGAACTGAGCGTTTTGCTCTTACACACACACACACACACACACACACACACACACACACACACACAAGGGGAAACTTCCTTTTGCCTTTGAACACAGCTGGGAGAGGAGGTGATGGCTGGAGCTGTTGCAGCCTTCTTGTGAGCGTGAGGAAGTAGCTGACACTGAGGCAGCCAGAGCAGGATGATGGGAACCCAGATCCTTGAACCAGACCTGGAAGGCCCTGTTTCTAAAGTTCTTGTTATGCAGTATAATTCATTTTTCTGTTGCTAAGTTTCTTAAACAAAAAGTGTGAATTACAGATGAGGAGACCCTGACTGATGCAGGGTTATCTGGTGGAATAGGGGAGAGAAGGCTGCACCCTTTCATAGTGACTCCTAAAAAGACAAAAGGCAACCATCAGTAATGGCTGAAACTCTCTTTAATGCTATGGAACACAGAACCATGTTGGGTTGGGATAGCAGGGGTGGGACAATGTCACAGGTGTGTATGGGCCACGACAACAGGATCGACTCATTGGCTCTAATGCCATCTCATAACACAATGTCTTTCTAGGCTGATTGCCTGCAGGGGGTTTAGGTGATCACTCTCTATGACCTCCCTGCCCTGAACCCCAGACTCCCTGGGGTTTCCTGCCCATGATGGACTGTGTTGGGAGTTCACTATAAGCTTTGCTTTCTGGAAAGTCATCAACGGGCCCTAAAGATGTGCACCTGGCCGACCGTGTGTCACAACCAGAGCTTCTGAGGGAGACACTGTCCCTTTGACTGGGATGGTATGAAATCTGCCTGTGTTTTCCTTTGGTGACTCTGGCGTCCTATGCAGCAGGGCTGAACATTTGCAGGCGATTAAGGCCGAGTGCAGCAGGAAAATGATGTCTGTGGCTGCTGGGCTGTGCGGGCTCTGCAGCTGTGGAAATGGCCTCCCCTGAGAAGCAGCAGAGGGGTGGGCCTGGGGAGGGAGGAGAGGCTGGAGCACAGAGTGGGGAAAGGGGCACTCCAGCCTGGCAGACAGGGGCAGATGGTGTGTCCAGCTCACCAGGAGCCACAGTGCACTGACTCGGGCATGCCCCCATCCCACCAGCAGGGGAGACCTCCCATGAGTGGATAGAGAGCTGCCGGAGGCTCCCCCATCATGCACATGACAAAGGACTGGGCCTTCTTGTCTGCACTTTGCCCCTTTGGAATGAGACAGCACGAATTCTCATGGGCTCCTACGCTGCTACAGAGCGGCGCCAGGAGATGAAATGTGGCCGGGAAGTGGCAGGGTGGGCTGGCCACGCACATGCGTGCAGCTTTCACCCCAGGATTGTGATCATCCGGTTTTTAGGGTGAATTTTCAACCTTTCCCACCCCGGGAGCCTCTCTTTGTCTGAAGCAGTGACTCTGGTTCTCAGTGTTTTGAGCTTTGGGGGTCTGGTATCAGGTATTCCTGGGAAAAGAAACTGAGTTCAGCTCAAAGTAAGTCCTATCGTTGGATGAGCCTTCAGTTTTCTGCAGGGCCAGATGCTGCCGACAAAAGCTCATTTTATCCTCAAGGAAGGAACCTGGTGGGGTTGACCACACCCCTGTCCCCACACGTGAAGCCTGTACTTGGTTCCACAGCCCCCTCGCCAGACTGGAATGGGGTTGTTTTCCTCTCTCTTTCCCCTCTAGGGTCACGAGCTCCCTGTCTTGTTTGTAAAATCCCTGTCCCTGGGGGCACAGAGGAGGCAGCCTTCACATTCTGTTGGAGGAGTGATGGGTTCCAGTTCCGGGTGGGGCAGGAAACTGAATGGGCCCGAAGCAGCTATATCTTGCCCCAATCCCACACGGCCAAAGACAGGTTGGATGAGAGAGGCAGCATTTCCAGGTTCCGGCCCGCATCTCATCTCAGAAACAAAAAATAAAAACAACCCTGGAGTGCCCCTCCTCCCGTTTCACCCCACCATCAGTCCAGTCGATTAATCCTGCAGAATTACCTAGCAGCCAGCAAACAGGTCTCCGCAGGGGCTGTGGATTCCAGACCCGAAGCCCCACCTTCTGAGCCTGCTTAAGCCCCTTCCACCTGCCGGTGGGTGTCAGGACAGAGCGTGCGGCGGGCAGGATGCCAAGAACACCCCTGACAGGAGGTCCTGCAGGGCCCTGCCTGCGGGGATGCTGGGGAGCGGCGGGCCCTCCGGACCCATTACGCTCAATTACACCTTCCTCTCCAGCCGCCTCACCGTGACAACGACGGAGATCTGATTAAAAACCCCATCGGGTTGAAGCCCTCCCATCATTTTGATGGACATCATGAAACGCTAATAAAAAACATCTCTCTAATGAAACAAACGCTGACAGAAAGGCGGGTGCCGAGCACCAGCCATATGGCGGCCACGGCTCCGGCCCGGCCCCGTTCACAGCGGCGCATCCCCGGCAGAGAGAGATGACACGGAGAAGCGTGGGGACCCGCATTTAATGAATCACACTGTGCGGGCGTCATCAGGACAGTCTCAGTCTGCGACAGGAGCCGCGTCTGGAGGTGTTGAGGGGAAAGCGGCTTCGCAGAGCTGTGCGGACGGCGCACCCTTTCCTGTCCTCGGTGCCGCCCGTGTGTCCTCATGCCGCGTCCCGCTCCCCTTCATGTTTTCACGGTGCTCCCTGGGCCTCCACCCTCCTGGCCATCTTCCCGGGTGGGCGCTTCGGCTGCTGCCCGGCTGGATGCCGAGGGGTCCTGGCAAGACCTGGGCGGCCCGGCCTCGTCCCTCAGTCCCTCCACGGGACTCTCCCCCCTGACCCCCGCCGGTTCTGCAGCTGCCTGCTCCTCTGTCAGTTTCATGGTCTCCCTTCCAGGCCTGTTTACTTCTTCCTCCGCCGAAGGTAACGAGGGTAATGAAGGATGAAAGTGCTTGCGTCGGTGCCCCTGGCTCTCATCTGCCGGGGAGTTGACAGCCGGCCTCCCGGCATCCTCCGGCGCTGTCAGCACCTCGGCGGCGGCACAGCTTTCATCTCCGTCTTGCGTCTGAACCTCCCCTGGAACAGACCGAGGACAGTGTCAAACCTCTGGCTGGAAGGCAGCCCTCACTCCCCAACTCTCCCCACCCCCGCCCACTGGCACTGGCACGGGGCCTCTGAGACACACCGTGCTCCTGGCCCCCCTACCCCCTCGCCGAAGCACAAGCTCAAAGAGAAAGCAGCAGGCCCTTTGGTGATGACCGGTGCCATTGAGGGAGGGAAGGGAGCACCAGGGCCATTGCGTAATCCATCCTGTCCAGGCCCTCCCTACCTCCCGCTTCACTCTCTAGCCTTGGCTCCTCATGCCCCTTCAATATTTAACTGAGGACAAAGGTTCTGTGCTCTTTAGAAGTGAAAAGGGATTCTGTCTGCCTCGGGGTGGGACACAGAAGTGCAGTTTGGGAGGGATTTCACGTCCCCCACCTTCCCCATTCTCCTTCAGCCCTGCAGTCTTTGATGTAGACGAAGTTTCCTCAATTTCAAATAAGACGACTATATACAAAAGCAGCTCCAAGCTCCCTCTGTCCCCAGCTAAACTGTTCCCCAAACCCCTTCTCTATACAATAGAAATTCTCCAGCTGCAACCGGGTGGAGGCGGGAGAGAGGTGGGCCCCGAGAGCAGGCGTCAGGCTCCCATTTTCCTACTCACTGGCTTTGTGACCGGAGGACCTGTCTGGTCTCTTCTCCCAGATACAAAATGAGGGCAGGACTCTCTGAGGTCCCTTCCCCACCTAACAAGCAAAGGTGGCGCTGCATGATTGGGAAGCACCCTGGGAGCGAGCCCTGGGGACACGCAGTGATGAAATGTATGGAAGAGACTCGCTGCTGGGCGGGTGCCTCCAGGGACAAGGGGCCTGGGAGCACTTCCTGGTCCCCTCAATGGAACCAGAGCAGAATCCCACTGCCCCCAGGCCTGAAATATATGCAGGTGCGCTTCAGGCTGGAACTCTGGAGAACCGAGGGTGAACCGTGGAAGGGTCAGAAGGAAGTAGACCTGTCTGACCATGCATTTTCTTTTTTTTTTTTCTTTTCCTTTTATCAAGGGGAAGAATTTATTTTCATTGAATTATCACATTGTCATCAATAAACTAGTTGACAATTATTTTTACCACCTCTTTGAGCATTACAATGAGCTGCTTTACTGTAGAGTTTAGTGAACTTTAGTACCATGATAACATACATTAAAGTAAGTACATGCATTTTCCTGTTAAAACCGTCCGCTGGTGTCTTGGGGCTTTTAGGAGACATTCCGGTTCCTTTCACATAGGTTCTTCCCAGGGTCCTACCTGGTCTGCCCCTGCTCCGCCCTGCAGCCTCATTTCCCACGGTTCCCTCGCCTATCGTGTCCTTCTGTCCATTTCAGTCTGCCTGCACCATCTGGTCCCTCCCCCCCCCCCCCGCCCCCACTCCCCTCTAAAGGGAATTATATCAGCTCACGCTTATTAGTAAGATATTGAAAACCTATTTGAGTGCTCAGAATTTTACACGTTTACCTTATTCTAGAATATATGCAGGGATTTCACCTGACTTGTTCACAGTGCTTGGAACATTCTAAGCATTCAAGAATGTTAAAAAAAAAAAAAAGCTCTAGTCGGTTTGGCTCAGTGGATAGAGCATCGGCCCTTGGACTGAGGGCGGCAGGTTCAATTCCAGTCAAAGGCATGTATCTGGGTTGCAGGTTTGATTCCTGGCCCCCTGGGTCAGAATGTGTGTGGGAGGCAACCAATTGATGTGTCTCTCTCACATCAATGTTTCTTTCCTAGTCACTTTTCTCCTGCCAATGGCAACCATTATCATACTTCAGATGCCAAGGATGAGTTTTGCCTGGTCTTTGAACTTCAAATACTGAAATCATACTGTATGTTCTAGTTTGTGTCTGTATTGGCAGATAATAGGTATATGGTGACTTTTTAAGAATTATATGAATTTTTGAGGATTATTTATATAATTTAGAAAGGTTACATATTTAAAAGTGCATAAATCTAAATAGATGTAATCTAAAAAATAACATTCTAAAACATTTGAATTACAATATAGCTTAGAATTTCTGCAACATGTACCAATATTATTATATGTGTGATTCATTTATATTTTAATATAATACATAAAGGTAGTTCTTAAGAATAGAAACAGTTGAAATAGAGTAAAAAAAAACAATAACAAAGATCAATGAAACCAAGAGATGATTCCTTGAAAAGATAAACAAGACCGATAAATCTTTAACCAGACTCATCAATAAAAAAGTGAGAGGATCCAAATAACTAAAATCAGAAATGGAAGAGAAGTGACAACTGATACTACAGAAATACAAAAGATTATAAGAAAATACTACTAACAATTATATGCCAACAAATTGGACAATCTGAAAGAAATGGATAAATTCCTAGAAATATACAATAATCCAAGACTGAATAAAAAAGAAACAAAATCTGAACAGACTAATTACAACCAACAAAATCAAAGCAGTAATAAAAAAAACTCTCAACAAACAAAAGTCCGGGACAGAAGCTTTCACAGATGAATTTTATCAAACATTCAAAGAAGAACTAACACCTATCCTTCTCAAATTATTCCAAAAATTCAAGAGGAGAGAAGACTCCCAAGCTCATTTTTATGAGGCCAGTATTATCTTGATTCCAAAACCAGATGAAGACACTACAAAGAAAGAAAATTATAGGCCAATATCCCTGATGGACATAGATGCTAAAATCCTCAATAAAATATTAGCAAACTGAATTCAGCAATAAATTAAAAAGATCAGACACCATAATCAAATGGGATTTATTCCTGACATGCAAGGTTGGTTCAATATCTGCAAATCAATTAATGTGATACACCATTATTCTTGGTAACTATGTATGGTGCCAGGTAGGTACTTAAAATATTGAGGGGATTACTTTGTAAATTACATGATTTATCTAGCCACTATGCTATACATATAAAACTAATATAATTTATTTTTAATATATTTTATTGATTTTTTACAGAGAGGAAGGGAGAGGGATAGAGAGTTAGAAACATCAATGAGAGAGAAACATTGATCAGCTGCCTCCTGCACACCCCCTACTGGGGATGTGCCCGCAACCAAGGTACATGCTCTTGACTGGAATCGAACCTGGGACCCTTCAGTCCACAGGCTGACGCTCTATTCACTGAGCCAAACTGGTTAGGGCTTGAGCTTCTATTTATTTAATTTAAAAGCTGGATGTGTTTTTTGAGCATTTAGTTACTTAAAATAGTGTTTACAGTTTTAAGAAACTTAAAAATGGCTGAACCTTTGGGAAAAAAACTCTAAGAAACTTTAGAAGTAATGAAATGTTGGTGAGATCAAATGGACCACAAGACTGAAATGAAGCCACTAAGGTGAAGAGGGGGGGGCACAGTGAAGGAAGAGATGACTGTGGACAGAGTGGTGGCTGTGACAGTCGACAGGCTGGCATCACTGGGGAAGATAATTGTGGGTCTTGACTCAGCCAGGGAGGCTGTGACCGCTGTCTTCACACCCCTTACCGCTCTAGTCCTTCTGATACACATTTGCTTCTCACCTTCAAAAGAAGCCGTTTTCTTTCTGTTTAGCCTTTTTGATATCCAGAGAAAAAGTCCCAGGGACAGACGTTCAACCAAATCCACATTGCACTTTCTAAAGTGTGTACTTAGTCATGGACAACTACTACTCTCCTGAGAACTCATTGATCTCAGTAAGTACTGTACCTGAAAATGAGACCATTACTTGTACTTACAATGAAATTCATCTATATATATAAAAGCCTAAGCGACTGGAATGACCAGTCACTATGATACGCACTGACCACCAGGGGGCAGATGCTAGATGTAGGAGCTGCCCCTTGATGGTCAGTGCCCTCCCACAGCCAACCTCCTCCCCCGCCCCCGCTCCAGCCAACCTCCCATGGTCCCTCCCTGTGCCGGTGGGGCCTCCCCATAGGCTCTGATCCAGCCGGCCCCCGTGATGGGCCTCGATCACCAGCCAGGCCAAGGGACCCCACCCATGCACGAATTCATGCACCAGGCCTCTAGTAATGTATACATGAGTGACAAAACAAACCTTGATTTTAAAAAAGCCCAATCCGTTCAGCCAGGATACTTAGGTTAGTTCCTACTGGGTTCCTTTGCTTCTAGTCTCCTGCTCTAATCCAACCTGTTGGGAGAGGGGCCTTCCCTAAAGCTTTGCTACTCGAAGTGGGGTCCCTGGCCCAGCTGTGGTGCATCAGCAGGAAGCTTGTTCAAATGCAGGCTCCCAGGCCCCACCCCAGACCTGCTGGTTCAGAATCTGCAGTTTAACAAGATCCCAAGCAATCTGGGTGCACATTGCAGTTTGAGAAACACTGTGAGCTTAAAACACAAACCTGACCATGCCTTTCCCAGCTGTCAAACCTCCAGCCTGCCCTTAGCCTGAGATTCAAGCCTTCAGTGACCCAACATCCATTGACCTTTCTACCTGACGTTCCAACTCTTCTCCTTATAGCCCTAGGCTCCAGCCACACGGAACCTTCACAGCATCCCAGCCCCACCCGCTGCACCTCTGCTTAGAGCAGTGATGGCGAACCTATGACACGCGTGTCAGAGGTGACACACGAACTCATGTTTTTGGTTGATTTTTCTTTGTTAAATGGCATTTAAATATATCAAATAAATATCAAAAATATAAATCTTTGTTTTACTATGGTTGCAAATATCAAAAAATTTCCATATGTGACACGGCACCAGAGTTAAGTTAGGGTTTTTCAAAATGCTGACACGCCGAGCTCAAAAGGTTCACCATCACTGGCTTAGAGGGTCAATTCCTCCATGACCATCACTACTCTACGTATCCAGATGGCCATCTCCTCCACGAAGCCCATCTGATTAAATCTGGTCAGAAGTTATCTCCCACAGTCCTAATCCCCACAAGGCTGTGTCTGGACCCCAAGAGAAGATAGTACTTCTTGTTACCCTTGAATGATTATCCATATATAGTTAACTTATAAAAACCACCTGAGGTATCAGATCTTACTAATACCTGGTTAATTTTTTAACTTTGCCAATGTTCTGTAGTAGGGGTTCAATAAATAGTTTATTAAATGTTTGAACATATACATTAACACATGAATCAGTGCATATATTAGCATATTTAAACACCATGCACTAATTAATAAAGCAATCCTTGAATTTATTGTGTTTGTTCCCAATTGTATTCAGGTTGCTACCCTAAGAGTTCTTAAAATGGCATTTTCAGGGGGTAAAAAGAGAAAGATTTCTAACTCACATAAACATTTTGAGGTAGCCCAGGGAAGCAATTACATAATTTTCACACTAACAAATAAAAATTTTATAGCGGTTGTGCAGGGGACATGGGAAACACTGAGTCAAAATGAGCGAGTTTCCAGAACAGAGCGAGAAGCCTTATCCTAGAGGAGTAATGGATGGTCTTTTCTGCAGCAACACTTTCCACCAGCCTGAGGTGAATAAACTCCTGGAAATTACTCTTATGATGTTACTTCTTCCAGGACACCTAACAGTATATTCTGGTGGCCCTGAAAAATTAATTAACCTTACCAGTGACAACCTAACCCCTACACCATTTGTAGTGTTTATACCATGGATCAGGTTAATCTTCTCAGCCTTAATTTACATCTAAGTGAGGGGGGTCTGAATTAACACAGGGGACTTGGTCGCTGGCACTTTGCCTTGTGCCATTTCCTTAGGTGACAGTCTGCTCATAATCAACTGTATGAATCTTTTTGAAAATAGCAAGCCTCTGAGATGAGCAGGGAGAATTTTACACTTTGCTTTTTGGGTGTGGGGAGGGGAGCAACACTGCGGTCATCATCAGAGGTTGAAACGCAGCTGCAGAAGGGAATGGACGAGGCGGAAATTCTACTGTTTGGTTCTAGTGGGGATTGTTTTCTGAGAAAAGCTAGCTTTTCAGAGCCTCGGGACCTTAAATATAGAGGGGCCAGGCTCCAGGAGTGGCTTATGGGTCTGCAACAGATTTACCAAAACACTCCTCCCCTTTGTTTATCCAATAGATATGGAAAAAATATACTCAAGCCATTGACAAAGAAAATTTACTGAAAATGTCACAACTGTTGAGCCAAAACAAGGACCTTGGCTACTTGCCGTGGGAACAAATTCTTCCTTTCATTCTGTGATTCTGGAACGTTAATGCTGAAGTTGTGGGAATTCCATCTTCCCTGTGAGAACAAAGGCATAGCATTGCCATTTTCATACAAGAGAGATTTCTGAACTGGTCCAGAGTAGGAAAATATTATTATAAATAATAGTAATTATTCTGTGCTGTTTTAGCCAACAGAATTAGGATCATTAATACTTATTAGTAACAATACACATATTAATAATGACGAGGCAATCAACGGATACAAATACATTATGACACAAATAGTGTGGAAAGAGAAATATATTTTCTCTAAAAAAAATGAAGAAACAGTAGCTCTTTGAAGGAAAGATTGCTAGGTCCCTAAAAATGTGTTCCACACCCCCGTCATTGGCCCAATGGGGACATTCGTCTTCTTTTGTTAACTGGTCTCTGATGGGCTTTGTCCTCAGAGCGTGAGCTGCTTTCAGTTGGAATTAATCAGAGATGCCGCAGTGATGAGGAGGCCATCCCAGGCATGACAGCCGCGACATAAATGCTTCCTTGTTCTACCCGTGCTGGTGCAGGACCGGCTGGAACAATGAGAGCTAATGATGGAACCCGGGAAGCGATCATTGTGAATCAGGCCATTACATATGCCTTCCTGGTGAAAATCAAGCCAGGCTCAGGCTCCCTTTCAGTGTAGCAGCCCTCCCCGCCACCCTCCGGGGGTTCAGCAGCCCAGAGCAGACAGAGGGCATTGCTCTCCATGTGGATCTCAGATGCTGGTAGGGGATGACCACCAGCTAAGACATGTTCCGGACTGCACAGCGGGCCACGCTGTGTTTCAGACCAGCCTTGCAAACAGCCACGTGCTGCTGGGCTGGGAAAGACCCAACCTTGCCTTCTGGCCAATTGTGTGACCCACCCAGGTCAGGGGCTCTCTCCAGGCATTCTCCCTGCATGTGCATGGGGACCTCTCTTGAAATCCCAGACCTGTCCTAGCTTCTATTCTTACCATCCCAGCACTATGATGAGTGATTAGCACAGGCTTCAAAACACAGCTGGCCAGATGTGTGAGTGAGCTTGTGGAGCCCTTCTGACCCAAAGACTTGTAATAAATAATACACAGTTGCTGCTTTCAGGGTGGTTTGTTATACAAAAATAGCTGACTGGTTCAGCTGGTTAGTACAGTTTGATGGAAGCACAGTTTTCATATCAGAGAAACCTAAGTAAGATTAGAAAGGCAGGCCAGGCCAGGTCGCACAGCTTAAGACTATGTGGAAGATAGCTGTGAGCCACTTGAGAGTTCTGAGTGGGGTACAAGCGGGATGGAAATCAGTGCTCCAGAGGCTTTATGTTAAAGCAGCAGGATGAAGATGGGATGAAGTCAGGAGAGTCTGGGAGGCAGGAGCCCTAGGATGGAAGCCCTGCAGCGGAGGTAAAGTGGGCCTGCACCAAGGCAGAGGTGGTAGGAATGGAGGTACGAGGAACTCTGAAGAAAGGGTTTGGCTAAAGACCAGGAGTGGATGGTGAAGGAAAGCTGACAGTGGTCAATGATGATTCTAAAGTTTCAAGCCTGGAGAGCTGCTGAGAGGGAGACGACAAAGGGAGGAGGCAGGAAGAGTTGGGGATATCATACTTGAGGAGTCCGGGGAATATTTCGGTGGGAAAGATTGAGCTTTGGGAAATGTGGGACCGTAACTCTGTAGTTAGCCCCGGGCACAGGGGCAATTTTGAGAGTATTTTCAGAGAGGTGATGGCTGAAGGCATCGTTCTGAGCAAGAGAAGATGGAGAAGAAATGTAGATGTTCCTGAAAGAATCTTGACACTGCATGCAAGGTGTATTAGTCAAGTACTGCTTTGTAACAAATTACTTCAAAACTTAGCAGCTTAAGACTCAGGAGCCTGGGAGCAGTTTATCTGGGTGGTTCTGGCTAATGGTCTTTCATGAGGTTGAATGCCAAATGTTGGCCAGGGCTGTTGTCATCTGAAGGCTTGACTGGGGCTGGAGAAGCTGCCTCCAAGGTGGCTCCTCACATGGCTGATGCTGGAGGGCTCAGCTCCACACCACGTGAAGAGCATGGAGGGCTGCTTGAGTACCCTCCTGACATGGCAGCCAGCTTCCTCAAGAGTGAATGATCCAAGACAGAGAGAGCAAGGCAGACCCTAAGTGTCTTTTATGACCTAGCCTGGGGAGTCACGTACTATCACTTCTGCTGTATTCTGTGAGTTACACAGATCAACCCTGATACAATGCAGGAGAGGACCACAGTAGGTCATAGATACCAGCAGAAGGGGGTCATGTGGGGCCATTTTGGAAGCTGGCAACCACACTGGGAATGGAGGAAGAAGACAAGCCAAACTTAAAAAGACGTGAAGGATAGCTGAGTTGGAGAAACAAGGCTGCCACATGGAAAGAGATCTGCCCTCACACCTGCTGGCTCCTCTGGCACCCTTAATGGTCCCCTTCAGAACACCCTGCCTCCAGAAAGTGCGCCTGGGAGTGGATACAACTCTTTCTCCAGGCAACTGATTCCCAGGCCACGTACCATGTGCCAGGCAATGTGCCAAGATTTCCCTGAGGTTGGCACCATCACTTATAGGTAGGAAGACAGAGTCTGAATTACTAGCCCAAGTTCTCACAGCCAATACGATGTGGGGCTGGAATAGAAACCCAAGCCATTCAACAAACTGAGCTCTCACTCTTAACCTCTGTGCCACCATCGAGAGAGTGCAGGGACCTGCGCTTTTTGGCTGGAAACGTCAAACAAGAAGAACCCATGGGAGCAACAAGAAAGGAGTAAGAAAGAAACACAAGGAATGACCCAGCAGTGTCACAGAGATGGACAGGACTGATGTCCACTGAGCCCTCTTCTGTCCCAGGCACAGGCCAAGCAAGGACTGAGAAGTTGAGGTGTGCTTACCGCTCTTGGGGTTTGCTTTGTCCTCAGTGGGCTGCTCGGCGAACTTCAGCAGTGGGGACCTGGACCTCTGTGTGGTGGGCAGAGTGGGGTCGTTGAGCATAATGGTGTCCTTGCCCCCTGTTGTGGAGAAGGGGAAAGTGGACATATTAGTACTCAATGGAGTTGCTGCTGCTTTCACGCCCTGCCCCCCCCCCCCCCCCCACAAACACACACAATGGACTGGCTGGTGAATAAGGCACCTTCTTCAGTCGTAGATAAAACTGGGGAAGGGCAATGGCCAGCAGGTGCTTTCTCTCATGTGAGGACAGGGAATAGCTGTCTATGAGTCCTGAGAATCTGCTCAGGGCATGGCTGACCACAAACACCTGTATGTTAGCTGAAAACTGAGTGGCACTGATCAAGGTGAGATAATAGCAATACTAACAATAACAACAGCATCACAGTGCTTAGGAGAGCAGGCTTTGGAACTGCCCTACAGTGTTTGTGTTCTGGACTCCATCACCTGCTAGCTGGGTGACTCAGGCAAGTCACTTAATCTCTCTGAGCCATAGAACCCTCATCCGTTAAGTAAGGACAAATAATAGCACCCACCTCACTAGGTGGTCTTGATGAATTAATTCATGTCAAGCACTTAGGCATTTAGTCAGCACTCGGTAAATGCCACCTATTCAAATTATTACTTTAGGAGGCACTTCCATAGCACTGTCATAGACAGTCTGTCTGATTTAATTTGATTTGGTCATTAAGATTGAATAATAACTCTGTCATAAGTCAGGTAGTATCAGGTTTCTCAAATTATCATAGCTAAACTTTCACTTAGAACACACAGTCCCAGACCAGCCACAACCTTTACTCGATTTGCATGAACTCCCTAAGTGGACAGAGAAAGTCTGAGGCAAAGAGAAGGAGGAAAGCGAAACCATTACAATTCTATTCTCAAGGCCAGTTATGGAGTGAGGAGCAGGGAAGTATGGCTTTGAAACATGAGCACCTTGAACACAGAAACAAAAGGTGTGGACAGAAAGCAATGCTGCCACGGCAGTGAAGACAGCCCAATAGGCAGGACTGGATCCCAAACTTTGCTCCGGGAAGCCTTGGGACCCTCTTGGTGGGAACCACTGTGCCAAACCCCAAACCCCAGGGGCCATGTCCCAGCCTATGCTTCAACCTTAGCTGTCTAACTTTGCGCAAGACCCTTTCTAAAGCCGTCATTAGCTGTCTCTGGGGCTCAGGTCAGAGGCTCTAAAGTCCTACTATCTTGGTCAGTTTGAGGTTCAATGGAGCACAGAGTGGGATTTGAGTGAAGACTTCCATTCCTTTGGTGAACCTAGACGCTACCTTGGAGTCCTCAACTATATATATAAAAGTCTAATGTGCAAAGTGTCCCCTCAGGAGTTCAACTGACCTGGAGTTCAATCACTTGCTATGATGTGTGCTGACCACCAGGGGGTGGCACGGAACGAAGGGAGGCCCCAGCTGGCAGCCAGCAGCCGCTCGGGAGCCTACCCATGCACAAATTTCATGCACTGGGCCTCTAGTTTGTTTATAACACTATCTTCCCATGAGGCCCGGTCTTATTAACTTGATTTCCAAGACTGTAGTAGAGAGTTTACACATGTTAGGTGCTTAACAAGTATCTGATAAACGTGTGAATAAATGGCAGGCGCATGCTTGGGAACCCTGATGTTCTGGGAGCAGGGTGCTTGCTGCTACCTCAGGTGGATGGCCTATGTTATTAGAGCCATAGCACTCTGGTTTCTCTGGTATCTGAGGGTCATGCTAGAAGAATAGAAGTCTGATAGGAGCTGACCCTGAAGTTCTCCAGTGGCACAGCTATTCTTCACATATGGAAAAAATCCAGAAATCTTCAGGGCCACAGTCTGGAGAGGTTTCCCAAAGAGAACCATTGGGGTACTGTTAAGTGACTCTCAGAATGAAGTCAACGTAATTAGGTCTCCCTTTGAGCTGCAAAGATACCATCTGGAAATACCTTGAGGGCTTAATGGTTACTATGAACCCATAGCAGATGCCTCAGGATGGACTTTTCTCACCACCGAGGCCACAGTTACTGTTCTCAAGTCAGGGGAAAAACTGCAATTCCTGACCCATCTTTTTCTAGTGGGCAGGCTGGCAGCTCCCCAGCTTTAAGGGGACTCAGTAAAAGACCACTCTGCCTCTGTGTCCCAACCAGCCTTCCAAGTCCCCACTGCCTTGGTGGCCAAAGAATCAAAATTATGGGCCGAATTGGGAGCTGGCTGAGATCCTCAGCCCTTCCTGTCACGAGGAAATGTCTAGGGTGGAATGTCTTGTGGCCCTCTCAAACCACAGGGCATCATCCATTCCACATGGCCCCTCCAAAATGCTGGCACCAGCAACAGTAAACCTCTCCAGGAATCCGAGTAACAAGCATGTAGAGAAGAGAAACAGAAGCCACCAGTCATTCATGTTCAACCAAGGTGGCGACTGGGGGAGAAGATACTTACCTCCCCAGATGCCTGCCTGGGGAGATCATTTCCTAATCTTAAGGCTAAATGCCAAGGTTTGGTCATTCTTGCAAATATTTGAAGGATTCAAAGATCTTTCTTAGGAGAATCCCGGTTCTATAATTTCTAACTCAGTCCAGATTCCATCTATATTGACTAAATTGAGCTCTAATCTGATGGCCTGCTGTTGCAGTTTCCCTTTGGTTTGTAGGACTGGAGGATGAGGAGTGGGCAAGGGACCCACAAACTAGAGTCAAACCACAACTGCTGTAAAAGGTTCCACTGAACTGGTGTTTGGGCTTCTGGAAGCCCCCCTGATTCCTTCTAACACAACATCCCTCATCTCCTTCTCTAAAATTGACCAAGAACTTTCAAAATGCACATTTTCCTCCTTAGGCTGATGCTTAACGTGGAGAAGAGAGAATTAAAATGAAAAGCTCCAAGAGCCAGGCTCCATTCTTGCCATATTTGTTCTGGCTTATCGAGTCTCTTTGAGTATGAACACACACAGGGCATCTCCTTTCCGAGCTCCCCAAGCACCATTCTCCACGCAGAGGCCAGCACAGGGCTGGGAGAATGAGGCTGACAGGGAGGTGATGGGGAGGGCGGGCAGTCATTCCTTCCTGAGAGTTGTGGTCAATATGGCCAACCCACCCTCTGGCTTTCTCACAATAGCCCCATACCTTTTCCACCTCTCAGAGATGGGATAAACAGTGTGGGATATGCTTTGCTATCCAGATGATTTCTCCACAGGCTGTGACATTTGTCAGACTTGTCTACTTCAAGGCAAGATCACACATTTGCCCTAACTCTATCAAAGAGCATTAAGAGCCACATACTGTTGACTGAGAGAGTGGGAAAGGAGGGAGGAGAGAGTCAAAGTAACATCACAGCATGCTCCATGCCCTGCAGTAATTCTGCCTTGTAGCCACCAGTGGTTGGCTCCTTCACTGCTGGCCTTTAGTGTCTCAGAAGAGACTGTTCTGGCTTCTGACTTTCCCTTCTCCAATCCAGCTTGCTTTGTGAACCATTCCTCATCTGATCTACCCTGTGGTCTCCTCTCCGAATTGTAGTTCCTGGGACAGGTGGCACATGAAATGATGAGCTGAACACCTGGGTTCTAACACCAGCCACTGTGGCCTCAGGTATCATCTAACTTCCTGGGTTTCCTTAAGAAACCTTCCTTACCTAAAGTGAGGAGATCAGACTAGCTCAGGAAAGGGTAAATGTTTTCTCTCACATGTCAACTCTGACCAGGAGGTGGCTTCCTGGAAAGCCAGCAGTGGGAGGCTGTTCTGAGGGCCACATGTGAAATCATCAAAGAAGAGCAATGCGATTGATTAGCAATGTCTGCCACTACCATGGGAATGGGTGTGGTGTAATATACACCATGTATTTGCCATCCTTGAACGTTTTGCTCTCCACTGTCCTTCCAGGGCTAGTATTCAATGACACCTCACACACCAACATCTTTATCGTTCAGCACTTAATTATGTGCCATTTCCCTCTTTCCTCTCACTTCTTGATGTACATTCCTCTTGCATCCGTAATGGGACTGTGGGTTCTTGGAGCGGGTGAGGGGCATCTCTGAAATGGCTGGTACAGAACTAAATTCACAAAGTGATGCCCAAAAAGGTATCAACAGGTTGAAGGGCTGATTTCCTGGAGGAAACCCTGATGGTTTCAAGATGATGGTGAATAAGAGAGAGTGAGCAACTCTCTGAAACCATTGAGACTCAGTTCCCTCCATCTGGCTGAAACATTATGATTTGGCTCCCACTTGGGGAAAGAAAGAGGAAGAGGAAGAAGAGGAGAAGGAAGAGGAAGGATGAAAAAGTAGATAAAAGAAGAGGATGACCAGGAGGAGGAGGAAGAGGAGGGGGAAAGAACACACTGCTTCTTGCTCCATAATTGGAGCCGTAAAACAATGAATAGGCACAGGGCCTGGTCTGATTTATGCTGGAAGAGGCCCACCCCTTACTCTCACACGGCTTCGAAAATGATCATAAGGCGCTGCTTCCTGTAACATCCTTCATCACTGTGCCAGGGCAAGCTATTCCACTGGGAAATAGCCACTTTTTTCCTGCCCTCCCACTTTGTATCTATGCAGAGGCCAGCGATGAGAACAAACATGGCCATGGCATAAAATCCATTCAGCCGGGTTCCTCAAAGCTAATTTCACCATTTAATATTTGCTCTGTGCTAATTAAATTCTCCATTTCAATTGACTGTTCTAATCAGGGAAGTGCAAGGATACATAGAGACTGCATTTCTATTTATTTACATGCGGCGCGGATATTTATGCACTAATGATATTAGCCACAAACACAAAAATGTCGAATAGAACATACTCCCAAATCCTACTGAAACGTTGTAGCTCAGGCCTTTAGGCAGCAAAAGGAAGGAAAGAAACAATTGTTATTGCACAATAGCCATTCGAATCTAGACCAAACATCACCAGAAAGAAAATTCTCAGCATTCATTGTTATTCAACTCCCAGCTTTTTACATACGTTGTAGAAATAAAACATTGTGAAATTTCACTAAGTCATTTGGAGAAGGGGTGGGAAATCCAAACTTCAGTACAAGCACAGAAATAGCAATCTGACTGCACAAATAAACGATAAATGTGCCCGACTGTGTTGAAATTCAATGCAATGAAAGAAAGGCCTTCAAAGAAGATAAGGTTTTAACCGCATCAAAAGGTTCTTGTGCAAAATGGATCATTCAAATCCCCAGGATGGCACTCGCCACTAATTAGTTTTGTTAGGTCTTTTGACATCAAGTTCAAGGAATCGCTGCTCAAAATTCCAATTTATGAAACACACTTCCAGGCAACCTAAGGCAGCGATTCAGATTTACATTAACAAACGTGTTGTTGTTCATATCCCCGTGGCAATGTTCATTCCCTGGACGTTATAGGGAAGCGACGGATATGAATCAAGGGTAGAGGAGACTAGCTTGTGTAGAAAGGTTAAGTAACTAAAAATATATGTACAACGTTGCTTCTAGGGGCAGAGGAGGCACGGAAAATGATAAGGACAAGTTTCTGGATGTATAAAGGAAAAGGGGGAATAGCTGACTGGGGTCTATGAAGGGGTTATTTTACCACGACAAGCAGAATAAATATAGCTAATTGATACTGTGTACAACTGTGAAAAAAATCTCCACAGGACATTTTGATCTTCAAGCTACGTTAAAAATGGGATGGGGAAGAGAGGAGAAGGAGGTTGGTAAGTGCATGAGGGTGAGAATATTTGTTTTTTCTTATTTTCACTTTTAGGGTTGATGATTAAATTGAACAAATCTTTATAAGACACCTATGGTGACAAAAATGAAGCAATTTACTATATTCACAAAGTTTACAAAAAACATATAGCCACGTGGAGTGACCGTTTCAGAATTATGTTAGCAAAACTTCATAGTTATGTAGATGAGAACCTGCATATGTATTGTACTTTACTAATTTCCCTCCAAAATGATGGTTTCTAAGTTTAAAGCACTTGTAGATTTCTCAGCAATTATCTTAGAATAAAAGGACATTGGAAAGGTAGACTCTCCTTTGCAAATTATGAGAGCACTTCCTTTTTTTAAAAAAAAGAGAAAAGAAAAACAAGTTTTATGAAGTTCTGCTTACCTGGGAGACTCCACAAACCAGAAACTTCCAGAGTTCTTAATTTTTTCTCCAGTTCAGCCACCCGATTCCCTAGGATTCTGGAAAAGGGGAGAATATTGCAGCAGACAGATTAGCAGGCATCTCATCAGCTTGCAAGCCTGTGAGCAGGTTACTTGGGAAACCCACTAGTACACTAAGAGAAAATGTTTTGAGATTTAAGATACATGCTAAAAATGGGATACACACACACACACACACACACACACACACACGCACACTCTATTGGAAATACATATAAAAATAAAGTGCATAAGTTTTTAAAATACTAAAATGTTGCTATTGAAGTGACTCCTCTCCCAAAAAGGTAGTTCCTCTGAGAAGCTAAAGAATTATTCCACCATTGCCCAAACATCTTACAGAATTTCTATGTAGGAATTGCTCATTGCTAAAATTGACTATGCATTTTGAATACCCTTAGTAGTATCACACCTTGACTCTTTGAAGGTAGATCTGAGTTTTGGAAACAATCAAGTCTAACAAATACCATGCATGAATATACTTGGTAATGTTGCTTTGAGTCAAGAACATAATATTATCTGCCCTCTTAGAACTAACCTATGTTGCACTGATGTCCAGTTCTTGCTTGCTATCCAGCATAATGCCTGGCAGAAGCTCAAAAATGTACTTGATTAAATAAATGCTTTTCTTTTCTCATGGCTTGTAATTATCAAGGGAGAGAATTTAAAAATATAGACATTTCTAAAGAGCTCTCAGTGATTGCAAAAATCACTAGAATAATGATATTGCTTTCCAAGGTGACCACTCTGACTCAATGATATGTGAGTTCTGGAATGAGTATTTGAAAAGACTACACTACTTAATCGGAAGTCAAACTTTGTGTATATGCATGGAAAGACATAAATGTGGGCATATATTTCCCCTCCTTTACACAAAATTAAATATGTTGGGAAATAATTTGATAGTCATCTAAAACTTCAATCACTCCCCATTGGTCTGGAAATTGAAAAAAGTCTTTATTGGAGAATTTTCTTGGCACTGCTGTGCTAAAATGATGCGGAAATATCCCTTAATAGCAAAGTTTCGGTTCTTTTCAACAGGAGAATTCAGAACAGCAGAATTGTTCTCCCAGCTCTTTATATTCCAGAGATAGCTGCACACACCCACATATACACAGAGACATGAATATGTATATATCTGCACATATATATGGCTTTGAATTCATCCTTATTTTATCTGAATCGACTTACAGCATCTTAATTAATATTCCCTCTGAGTTCATGAAAAAGTCTTTGATATTACTATGTGTGGTTTTCTTCATCTGGGTACTTAGAGCTTTTCTTTGCCTCTTTTCCTTAAGTCTTAAATTCTGCATAGTCTTGATCAATTACTTTCAATTTTCACTCCAATTGTTGGGTTTATTCTGCTTTCATGACTCTGACCCTTCAATAAACACTATTCTCCGTAATCTCATTTTCAATATTTTGCTCAGGCCTCTGATCCAAGCTGCCTTTTCACCAGCTGATGGGTTTGAGATGCAATCTCAGCCGTGTTCAAGTTGACGCCCGTTTCTTAACGAGATCAGATCATCTGTATGTGGCTGCCTCTTGGAAACAAACAATAAGGCTTAACTCTTCCCTGGACACCGAGGGAGGCCGTCAGGGCAATGTTGGAAGGCGTGGCGGAGAGACATTTGGCTGTATTCTTTCTGATGTTCCCAGATAATAGCCATGTCTCCCAGAAATGGAGTGAGGTGAACTTGCTGGTGTCCACAACCATCTACATCCTAAGTTTGTCAGGGGTGACTGCTTTTTGGGCCTGGCACTGGCATCTGATGCAGGGCTTCAGGCAGTAAAATGGACCCAGCGGGAGTTGTGGTAGTAGAAACAGTATCAATAGCAATAGCAACTGCAATACTGTTAGCACAAACAGCAAAACTAACCTTTCCCGAGTCCTGGACATGAATTGGGGTCCATGCTGAACACCTACCAGACTTGCATTATCTCATCAGACCTGACAAAAGCCCTGGAGTGCACATTGTTTTTTTAATCCTTCTTTTACACATGTGGACCCTACGGAACAGTGAGGTTAACCAACTTGCCTAAGGATGCAGAGTTCATCTCAAAAACCTGTCTTTTCACAACACTCAGTGCTCTTACCCACCATACTCTACTCCTCCCATTAGAAAACAGAGGCATGGAAGTTAGTTAACTTGACCAACACCATATGCAGGACTCAGCTGGTGATGAGTCTGGATTTGAACCTGTCAACCCATTGTCATTGGCACCAATTCCAAAGCCAAGAGGAACCCCCGATTTGGGGTGCAGTGAAGAAGGAAACTTTATTTAGTGCCAACAGCTCAATGGCAATGTAGCAGGGCTCTGAGGCTGCCCCAGGTCCTGGACCCTCTTCAGCTCTGCAGCTCTGCTCCAATCGTAGAAATGGGATTCTTTAGTCTTCCCTGAAAAGTATGCTTCCTAATCCAGAGCTGATTTATATAGACAGAAGTCCCCGCCCCTGGTCCCTGATTAGTTGGTTGCCATGCAAATGAGGATGCCAAATCAATCCTTAGTTTGATTGGTCCAAAGGCACTGTCCTGATTGGTCAGAATATAGCTGCTCTGATTGGTCAGAATAGAGCTGCTCTAATTGGCTGGGGAAAGCCTCAGTCCCTTGAAATGGGACTCCAGGAACTCCTTTGTAAGGGCTGGCTCAGATGGCAGGAACACAGTGCAAGCAGAAAGACAGTTCAGTGCAGAGGCAGGCATTTTAATGCAGAGGCTTCTCCCCAAAGGGCAGCTTTTGTGGGAGGCCCCTGTGCAAAAATGGCTACTAGACTCCTTTAAAAAAAAATTTGAGCCTAGTTAGCCACCAGCAGCTCTTCTTAGTCCCCCAGGTTCACAAACCTAAGCTTCAGTTTGCCTCCTAAGTGCATACTGTTAACCAATACCCAGTAATGGCAATGGGAAATAAGCTTTCTTGTGTCTGGAGCAAATTCTCATTAAAACTGTTTATATTGAAATATGGATGTAACCACAGCTGACTTGCCAAATATAACCCAAGATGCTTCAAATGACAAAGAGGGACCTCCTGATTGGCTTGACACTGAAAGAATATGGCAGGTGGTCTACTGAATGGCATGTGCAGCCCAGGAAGAGAAAAGGGCTATTTGGGTCTTAACAGCTGGCTGTATTTATAGATGGAGATGGTGGAAGTAAGAGCAGGGTCCAGTCAATTCCGTTTGACCAAATCAACAAACGATCACTGAGGCTGTAGGGGATAATGCAGAGAAGCAGATCCTGTCCTTGTATTTGAGGGATTAAAAGCCTGGTGGGAGACAGACACACAGATGTGTGCAGGCACACGCAGTGCCAGTGGAAAGAGTTAATAACAGTTGATATTTATCAATCACGTGTTCTGTACCAGATATTACCCTAAGCACTACACAATAATTATCTCAATCCCTTGCCACAACCAATGAGGCAGCTCTTACCATCCTAATTTTGTAGATGTGGGAACTGAGATCCAGGGAGGTCAACTAATGTGCCCAGGGTGACACAGCTGTTAAGCGAAGGGGCCTGGAAATACACAAGTCCTTCAGTAGAACTGAGCAGCAGAACTGAAGAGTGAATGAAAGATGAATCCAGAGAGGCTTGTAGGGACCAAGATTTAATTATCTTGTTGCCATATTGACAATGTTAAGACTTATACACCGGGGAGATGTTGAAGGGTATTAAGCATAGAAGTAGCATAATGAGGTTTAGGAAAAGTATTCTTGATGCAGAGTTGAGAAGGGACTGGAAGAAACCAGTTAGAAAGTCATTGTCCAGGTCGGCAACGATGGTGGCCTGAAACAAGTCAATGGGGATGCAGGGAAGCTAAAGGCAACAAGCAGGAGGCAGGTGAGGAGTGTGAGGCATCTACAGTATCTCCATCTGGACATATGGGAGAGAGGAAAGATCTGGGAGTGCAGAGATGAGAGTGTAGCCTGGGGAGTGGATCTGCTCACCAACAGCATGGGAGAATTCAGAAGAACAGGGGACTAGACTACCTCCTGTGTAAGGCAAGAAAGGACCAGAGAAGCACACCTGGAGATGGAGGAGGACAGCTAGGGCAATGTGGGGCCTTGGAAGTCAAGGGAAGAGAGTTCCAGGTGTGAAGGTGTGATGAGTGTTGCCTTATTCTAGAAGTGGTTATACTTCTAAAGGAAAGTTTAGAGGAGGTCACTTGGAAGATGTGCCTGACCCTTGAGAGAGATGTTTCAGTGGAGGCAATGAAATCCAGAATCCAAGTGATAGGCTTGAGACAAAAGACTATGAAAACATTGTGGCTGTGACTATAGAGGACTCTCCAAGTAGTTGAACAGGGGATAGGCGACAGCCAGGGCAGTAGCTCGAGGCTAAACAGGCTGGAGAGAGGATTTTTTATTTTTGTAGGATAGGGGAGATTTTAAACAAAATTTGTAATTAGCTACAGTTTGTTTTAAGATAGGGGAGATTTCTGCATATGTCCACCTAATAGTCTAGGAAAATCCTCAAGATGTCAGGACTCTGGATTTTCAGTAGCAGTTTTTGATAATAACAACATCAGAGGGGATCTCCAAAGACGGAACTAACTCAAGAACTGGCCACCACTGTGCCTCTAGCCTTGCTTTCTGGACAACACAGGGAACAGAAATCCCTGAGTGAGGGTCCTTGAGGAAAGTCGGGACCTGAAGCAGCAGCAAGGGGCTGTGGTTCTCCACAGACCTGGAGATAACCCTGCCCCCCACCTCCACCCAGGTGACCTTCTTTTCAATCTTTGCTCTGAACCATGATAGCTCATGCTGCTACTAAAATACTGAATGTCTAAGCTATTTACCATTGGTCAGGGAAGGGGAAGAGTAGTGAACAGTTTTAGGCACAGCAGGAAGGGGAGCGAAAGGCCAGTGTGTCTTCATAAATTCACCACCACCACCATCCCACCACCCCACACTGGCAAAGTGATGGATTGTTGAGAAGGCCTGGAGAACTAAAGGTGGTGTTCCATGAAACGGTACTTTAACATCTGCCTCTTCTATTAATGCTTTGCCATCTGTTTATAAGACAAGTGAACCTCATCTCTTCTTTAGCAATAATCAGACAACTGCCAACTCTTTGGCAACAAATACCTCAAGCAAAATGCCTAGTAATTGAACGTCCTCTCAAAATGTAAAGTCCTGTTTTTGTCATCAATTCTTTAAGATGGCTCCCATTACACTTTCTCAAGGGGTGGGCGGTAACCGTCAGTCAGTAGGGAAGACACTTCCGGCACAGGGTATCTTTATTCCTACGTACGATGCTCCCCCAAAACAAAGCTATCTTGTTATTTTAGTTACAAAACCCTAAATCATGGGGAATAACAGCAAGAAGACAAAATTCACATTCTATTCTTAGCCCACACTCCATTTGTTGTTTAGTTCTTTTTTACATGCTCCCAAATAAAACATTTATCAAAAGCATGAAACTTAAGACCTTCTTAGTATTAAAAATGGCACATTAGGTACTCTATGTACTGATGTGAAGCAATCTTCAAGATCTATTGTTATGGGCGAAGTGCAGAACAGTGAAAAACCTTAAAAAATATGTATGTTAGCTACTATTTATAAAAAAAAAGAGAGAGCATACCTATACAAATATACATGAGCATTTTTGTATATCTATATAAATATATTCTGCACTTGCATATATATGCATGTTTGGGAAGGATCCCTAAGAAATGAGGAATGTTGGTTTCTTCCAGGAAGGGAAACTGAGTGGCTAAGAGTCAACAGTAGTTTGGAGATTCAGTAAGTCCTAACTTAACGTCCTCAATAGGTTCTTTGACTTTAAGCAAAATGATGTATAAGAAAACCAGTTTTACCATAGGCTGATTGATATAAACAAGAGTTACGTGCCTTTTCAACACAGCAACATGATACCAAAATAACACTGAATGAACCAATGTTATTCAAGGACCTGCTGTATATTGTTGTTTAACCTTTTATTCTTTTTAAAAATATATATTTTTATTGATTTCATGAGAGGAAGGAAAAGGAAGAGACAGAAACATCAATGATGAGAGAGAATCATTGATGGGCTGCCTCCTGCACGCCCCCTACTGGGGATCAAGCCTACAACCTAGGTGTGTGCCCTGACTGAGAATCGAACCGTGACCTCCTGGTTCAATGTTCAACCACTGGGCAACAGTGGCCGGGCTGTTTAACCTTTCACGTGTGAACCACAAAATGGTTCAAAAATATTAAAGTTAAAAATGAAAAGATGCATTAAAGCAAAAGTAAATCTATGAAAATGCAAATGTCAGTCTTTCTGAAAAGAGGTGGCAACCCATTGGGAATCCATAGGGACGCATTAGGAAATCAACCTGTCAGAGAGATGGGGGTGTCAGAACAACAGCAATGTGGAACACTGCAGGGCTCTGCCTGAGAAAAGAGAACTCATGCCTGTTCGAGGAGATTCCCATTCCCTCTCCCTCCCCTTAGAAGTAGCTGCATTTCAGCCTCTGGCTGTTTCATTCATTGGTTAAGATTTCTTTAAAAAGAATCTTTGAAATGACTTCTGTCAATAAATTACCCTTGTCATTTCTTTGAGATTGCCCAGACTCCCTCCACTGCTCTCTGCCTTCTTTTATATATATCTTAATCTCCTGCGCGATCTTCCCTTCCCTTCCATCTCCTCTTTTTCCTGTTTTGTTTCTACAATACTCTCAATCACTTTCCAGGGCCCAACTCCCCCATCTCTCCCCTTCTTGCTGGAAGCCCAGCCCTTCGTTGCTGCTCTCTTCTTCCACCCCTTCATTTGGGCTCTGGGTGTAGGTCTTGTAAGCAGGTCCAGCAGGACCCAGTGCAAAATGAAAACGGAGAGCCCCCTTGCTGAACAATAATTAAGAATTTCAACATGGAGACAGGAGCGGCAGACCCCATGCAAGGCTCCCCTGAGCACCGAGTGCTGACAACCACGGGGCGGGGTTTGCAGTGTTTGTTGCTTTAATTTATTGTTTATTCACCAATTCCCTGAACACTTTCTGTTTTGCTTCTGTCGTCTCTAATGGCTACTTCAACTTGCTTGATTTTGCCCAACACAGTCAGTATGTTTATAATAACCAAATAAGACATTCTGTTTTAATTGTCGCCCTTTTTTGCTATATTTTTGGCTGATCCTGAAGGGTAACGAGAGCTTCCCTTGTAGCCACATCTGCCTTCGAGAGGATGCTTGGCTGTTCCTGTCATTCAAAGCCCCTCAAGGGTAAAATGGCACCCAGGAGGTACCTCCCCTACCTGGCGGACAGGTAGGCTGCATTACCGGGGTGAGTGTACTATCAAAATCACCATTTAATATGCATTGGTCAGGGGGTGGGTCAGGTAAGCATTCAATAAGCAATGGCCAGTATTATTTGCTTGCTTGACCTCAGCAGAAGCATAGTTCCAGTTTAAGGAGTTTCCTTCCAGATTGAAGGGTTCTCACCTACTTCCCTTAAGACATGTGGTCCCACCAGTCACCCTCACCCCACATCTCTCCTGTCCATCCCCCCATCCCTTCACCAAAGGCCCAGCCACCTACTTGTTGGTCTGCCTCTGGTGTTGGATGACCATGTTTTTCTCGTGGATCGTCTCCAAAAGGGCCGTCGCCAGAGATTTCAGATCAGAAATGGACTGCGGAGTCGCCGGCAGACTGCACCCGTGATCCTCCGATAGCAGATCCTGGACTAGGTGGGACAGAACAGTGACAACTCAGACTCAAGTTCATCCGGAACCCTGGAATGCAGACCAATGTCAGCTCTTCCTGGACACTGACAGGGGCCCAGCCTCTAACTGCTGCGCGGTTGCATTGAAGAGTCCACTTCAAGGGTCAAAAGTACCACAGAATGAAATTCAATGTGTGGGTTAAACAGGAAGGCGGAAGTCCTCATGGATTTTTATCAACAACGTTTAAAAGGAGAACAATCTGTTGCACTTGTCCAGTATTTTATAATTTCAAAGATACGTTCCTATTGACTAACTCATTTGAGACTTAAAATGAACAACAATAAAAAATCCACCTGGAAAGCAGCGTTTATCCTCATTTCACGGACAGGAAAGCAAAGTGCAGATGGATTAAAAATACTGGCTGAAGGTCACGCAGCCGCGCTAATGACAATGACTCTAGTCCTGACCGCCTTCCTGTACGTCAGAGTTTCCCAGGGTGTGCGCCTTTAGTAGCAAGATAATGTGGGAGACTATTTAAACTACAAAATACATTCTGTATATGCACATTTTTGGAATGGGTAGATAGACTAAGGGTTTACACAAAAAGTCAATGACCACTTGTACTCCCACCAGACAGAAAAAGGAAAGTATAAATCACTTTATGTTTTTTTGTGTGTGTGTTTTTCACATATTAGCATAGTTTAATTATTTTAGCCAACTGAAAACCAAATACAAAACAAGATTAGCATGATTATTTGTTAAGAGGCTCCATGTTAACTTAATTAATTAAATTAATATGATTTACTAAATTAATATGACTATTGTTGTTTTTTAATCTTCATTGTTTTTTTTAAGTTTCTTTATTGATTAAGGTATTACATTTGTGTTCTTATCCTCCCATTGCCTCCCAAAACCCCCACCCATGCCCTCACCCCCCAGTTGTCTGTGTCTATTGGTTAGGCTTATATGCATGCATACAAATCCTTTGGTTGATCTCTCCCCCTTACCCTCACCCTCTAATCTTCATTGTTGAAAGCATCACATCAGTCCTCCTTTTCCCCTCATTAACCTCTTCCAGCCCGTTCCCATCCTCCCCCTACCCCCAAACCTTCACCACCCCATTGTCTGTGTCCATGGGTTCACTATATGTTTTTGGACACCTTTCCTACATACCTATACATAGCTATACTAATTCATACATTTTTCTTCAAAAATGGGGAAAAAGCTCTGCTCTTTTCACTTAACTTGATGTCTCATCCTGAGTATCTCCTTAAATAAAACGTAAGAGCTGCTTCGTAGTTCATATACAGATCTACAATAAATAAATGTTGTTTCCAATGTTTTTTATTATAACTAATGTAGGAAGAACTTTCTTGAAGCAAAACGTCTGCATAGGTCTCTAGTTACCAGTTTAAGGCATCTCATAATAGGTTGCCCAACGCTTATTAGCAAAGGTTGCCCAGATTTGCTGCTCGGCGGCGGTGTTTGAGTGTGGCTGGCATGCCCCGCGGCAGTGGTAAGACTGGTCTCAGCACTCAAAGACGCTATGCATCAAGAGTATCCAAAGCTAAATGTAGATGGGCTACTCCACATTTCTATAGAGTATTGTAGTTTTCTTTAAAAAAAAAAAAATCTAGTCCTAGCTGGTTTGGCTCAGTGGATAGAGCGTAGGCCTGCAAACTGAAGGATCCCAGGTTCGATTCCGGTCAAGGGCACATGCCCAGGTTGCAGGCTCGGTCCCCAGTAGGGGGCATGCAGGAGGCAGCCAATCAATGATTCTCTCTCATCATTGATGTTTCTATCTCTCTCTCCCTCTCCCTTCCTCTCTGAAATAAAAATATATTTTTTAAAAAAATTTATAAAAAAAAATCTAGGGTGTCCTTTTCTAGTAGAATAAAGAAAAAAGTTGCTTGGGAAAGTGCCTTGGGTGTTAGTTAAGCTGGAGAGTCAGCATTTTTTTTTCCACGCCACCCTCGCTCTGATTAAGACTGCCATCTGATTGTTGCCATCTGCACTGCCAATGACCCGAATGTGGGCCAATCGCGCATGTTCAACCCGAGGCTTACGATTAAAACTGAGTTCCCAGATCGTAAGCGTCAGAAGCAAGCTCTCTGCTATTTGCCCCCCTGGATGGTTCCCGGAAGACCATTATTTTTCATGGGAATTGACAGGGAGGAGAAACAAAATTGCAACCAATACAAGCTTCCTTGAAAAAGGCATATGCTCCATGATAAAATGATTCCAGCAGCTCCGAGACTTCTATTCAAAGAGTCCAGGAAAAAGGGAAATTCGATGAGGCTGCAACATGTACTCGGAGATGCTACGCTGGTGATCAGAGAAGGAAAGAAGAGCACAGGGCCGGGGAAAGGACACAGATGAGGGCCAGTTATTAGGAAAACCTCTAAGGCGGAGGTTCCTAAAGCAGGGCCCCCCAACCAAGCATCAGCCTCACCTGGGGACTTTTCAGAAATGCCAATCCCCAGGGCCCACCCCAGGCCTACTAAATCAGGAACCCAGTAATCTGTGTTCTAAGGAGCCCGCCAGGGAATTCTGATGCAGGTGGAAGTTTCTAAGGGTCAGCTCGGTTCCCCGTCTACAAAACGAGATGTGATTGACAGCTCTAGCATTCTGGGGTCCGAGGGGTTCCCCCTGAGAACAAGCCCTACCTTGCTTTGCAGAGAGGACGCCCGTCAGAGCACTGCTGCTGGATCTGCCCTGGCCTTTTGTGTTCTTCCGTCTCTCGAGAGCATTCTACAGCAGGATTGGGAGAAAAAGAAAAACCTGTCAGAAAAGCCAATCATGGAAAAATACCTCGTTATGTTTAGTCGCATTCTCCCAGTTCAAGAACCCTTGGCAAACCCCCGAGGCTGGCCCACTTGTTCAAGTTCCGAGTCCCTGCCACAAGGTTGGGGTTTCATGGTCCCAGGAAAGAGGTTTTTAAAAGTGGGTGCCTGGCAGAATGACAGCAATTTCCCTCTCCCAAATAGGAAAGGCACTCAATGCATATGTGTTAAATGATCAAATCTCAGCCTCATGTGTGAAGCCACTGGTTATGGAAACCCTTCCGAACAGACAGGAGGTGGAGAACAGGTTCACTTTCATGTACCGAGGCCCAGAATTCGTTGGTGGTATTTGGAAGGATTCCGTGGTTGGACTGGAAAAAGAGCCACGGCCAATCAGTGATACCTGCCGTGGACACAGAAAGGGAAGTGCACAGGTGCCACCTAAATGTCATTCCAAGAAGAGACTCGTACATTGAAATGGATATGTACTGCCCAGCTAGTGTGGATCAGTGGTTGAGCATCAACCTATGAACCAGGAGGTCATGGTTCAATTCCCTGGGTCAGGGCACATGCCCAGGTTGTGGGTTGGATCCCCCGTGGGAGACATGCAGGATGCAGCTGATCAATGATTCTCTCACATCACTGATGTTTCTATCTCTCCCTCTCCCTTCCTCTCTGAAATCAATAAAAATATGTGTAAAAAAAGAACAAGGAACCAAATTATACCTAAATAATTCTGTTAATAAAAAAATTGATATGTACTATACAGCCAGTGCTTGGCACATAGAAGAGCAGAATACATGTTCTTGAATGCATTCATGCATATTTTAAAGTTATATATTAATTATACAACTTTAAAGCTGCATTCTTCTTCAGCTGCATGTGTATATATAGACGGGTATAAACTAACGTGTGGCCCCCACAGAATGGAAAAGAGGAACAGCATGGAGATGTCTGAGAAAAAAGCCCACGTCAAAAGCCAGGAAAATGAGAAGGCTCTCTCCCCCAAGCATCTAGACTGCTGTAAAGCTTCCCCCTCAGCAAGGGAAATCAATCTATTTTCAAAGCAGAGAAACCCAGGAGATTTCTCTAATTATAACACTTACAAGTAACATCTGCAGAAATAGATATTATCAAACTAATGGTGCTGGAATGAGACGAAATAACAGCAGGGAGAACTTAGGCACCCTGTCATTTCAGGGTGACGTGAACACTGTGGTCTGGATTGCGACTTCCTAATCTTTGTTTCTCCGTCGCTCGGAAACCATTTTCTTAGGGACGATGATGAGACCAATAGCATCTGGTGACAGAACAGTTTCTAGAAAAGCCAGGTAAGAAGCCTGAGGTCGTATGGACCGACCGAGGCTGTCAAGGGGCTGTGTCTGGATTCTGGGGTCTCCGTGTGCCCCGTCCTGGTAACAGCAATGAAGGAACTCTCGCAAAAGCTGTTTTGTTGTCTCGGGTTTAATTCTCATCAGTTACCTCGGTGAAAGCTCTTATGGGCCTCTCTCTGGGAGGGCAGGCAGGCACTAAGATATCTTTGGCACATAAAAGACAATGAAATAGGATGGCATTTAGATGTGCAATGGAATCGCCAATGCCATCGCCATGGTTCTGCTACCTTGTATTTGGCAATGTTGGATTTCAAGAGGTTGACCTCTTCATGAAGTTGCTTTAGTCTCTCTTGAAGGTACCTGGAAAAACAAATACAACTAGAAAGTGTTTGGGGGCAACAAAACAAAACAAATACATTCACATAGGAGAGGAGGAAAAAAGCACCTGCCTCAAGAGCCATCTTTTACATACAATGCCTGTCACCACCGAAGGGAGGGGAGAAAAGTGTGTCTGTGCGACCTCTGCTTAAGTGGCTGCGATCAAGGTCAAATATGCCCAAATCACAGAAACCCCGCTTCAGAAGAGCCCCGTGCAGAGATCCCCTAAGGGATAGCCACACGCTTTTCACATAATTCTCATTAAGATGATTCCACTGGGAAGGCAGGCGGGAAGAAGCAACACCAGACATAACATTGAGTTAGACACATACACACACTGAAATTTGCCTCGGGGAAAAGAAGCAGCTCAGGGAATTTCTCAATTTATTTTCTCATTCTTTTCTCTCTCCTTGATAGCAATAACAGGCAGCTTTCACTGGCTCCCTGCCCTCTCGCCCAATTGGGTGGGGGTGGGGGGGCGGGAGAGGAAGGAGCACACGTGGGTGTGCAGGTATGTGGTGCTTCTTTCTGACATTTACTACTAATCTGTGACATTAATATTATTGTGTGTGTGTGTGTGTGTGTGTGTGTGTGTGTGTGGGCGGGGAGGGCAGGGGAGATTGTGATGTTCCTTCCATTGTAAGGCAATTCTCTCAAATGTGAATAGGGCTGCAAATAACTCCTAGCCCGCAGGCCGGTGGTGAGCCAGCATTCTACCTGCTGGCAGGCCCTGCCCGGGCACTTGCCTGTTCTCCATGCACAGGGCGTCCACGTCAATGATGCGGTTCTCATGGCCTCCCAGGATGTGGTTTAGCTCCTGGTTGAGCCTCTCCACCTTGTCCTGGTAGGAAGACCGCTCCTCCTTCACGTCCTGAAGCTCATCCACAGAGGCCTGCAGGTCATGCTCCAGAGACTCAATCTGAAACCAAAGGAAGCGCCCTTCCTCAAGATGTTCTTCAGGCACCCGCTTTATGGCCAGCGATGGAGCTTTCTGTGTGGCTGACTGATTTTTAGAGAGCGCATAAGACGACCCGCACGCTGTAAAACCATAAGAGCCACTCACTGGAATACGATCAAAGCTAAAAGGAAGGGGCCGGCGTCCTGCCAGACACTTCCTCTGTCTAAGGTGGGAGGGGTGCTCCGGCTTGGAGAAACAGAACCGATCCCTTACCAACGGGCAGCGTGCCCTGAAATCAGAGGCTCGGAGAGGCCAAATCCCGACGCTGGGAACAGCAGCCAGTGTCTTACAAACACAGGCTTTTTCAAGCCGCTCTAGGCCCAGAAATCGTGTTCTGCTCTTCAAAACCAATTAGCAAGAGAAGGAAAGCAAGTCTGGGCTCTCTTAGCTGTTCCCTAACTAGGACTCTGTACCCGTTGAGATTTTGCCTAAAAAGCACTGCTCAGCATTTGAGCGGAAACTTGCAAATTAAGGCCAGTTTGTCACGTTTTGTTCTCTCCTTGTCTATCCTGGGTAAGGGGGGGAGTTTCTTATTGTGCTCAGAACAATGGTATCCAAAGTCACAGAGCAGACCTGCTGGAAGCCAGAAACACAGAGGCGACCTGGGGGAGTACCCAGGAAGGAAAAGCACTGGGCTGGCATCCTCCTTCCTCCTCTGACCTGCATCCCAGACACCTCACACCCTCTGGGCAACAGGGACATGGTCCACTCTTCTCTGTGTTGTGTCCAGCTGTGCAAATCCACCTCCTGCTATGAACGGATGTTAGCAATACCTGCTCCTTCGCTCTCTCCAGCTGCTGAACCAGGTCTTCGCGCTCATGGGCTGCAAAGTGCCGCACACCGATTTCTTCATCTCCAAGCCTCTGTTTGGCAATTGTCATCCTCAAGAGCTGCATTTTCCATTAGTAGGAAAGGGAGAAAGAGAGGGAGAGAGTTAAAATGAGTAGATCAAACAAACAAACAAACCAACACAAGCACACCAGGCAGAAAGTTTTGAAAGGTTTTCAAGAAATGCCGGGGGAAAGCAGAAGACAGAAATGTCTTGCCAATATCATAAGTTTTTTGAAATATATTGTATTTTGTCCACGCATGCACATACACATGTATGCATGGTACAAGGCTGTAGAAACACAGGCCTGGGCATTTGAAGGTGGAAGTCCTGTGTAGCACAGCCCTGGTGAGGAAACTAACTCTGGGTTTCTTTTAAACTTAGCAGAAATTTAAAAGAAATGATAGCACATGCTGTGATGAGCATGCTTCCACACTCCCAACAATGAGGCCATATTATCAAGAGCCTTAAAAATGTCCCAACCTAATGATCCAGTAACTTAACTTCTGACAGTCTGGGCTAAGAATAATCCCAGACAGGGACTAGCTTTAGGAAAAAAGAAAAAGTAGATTGCAGTGTTATTTATAGAAAGGGTAAACAAACTAGAACAGCCTCTAACAATAGTGGAATTGTTAGCAAACTATAATGCAATCAATCAAGGGGCTTCTTTGTAGCTGTTTTAAATAAGGGTGATGTGAACTATGTAATCCTACTGACATGTTTAGAATGCCATGTTAAGTGGAGGGGGAAAGCAGATTACTAACTTTCATATGCAGGACTAAAATTATACTGAGATAGACAAATAAAAAAGAAAAATATTACCAAATATATCAAATTACTAACATGTTTAGGTGACGGTGAGACTGTGTATGCTGCTCTTTTCTTTGTTTTATTTTGTTTTTAATTTAAAAAATGTTTTCAGTTACAGTTTACATTCAATATTATTTAGTTTTAGTTTCAGGTGTACAGCATAGTGAGTGGTTAGATATTCAGATACTTCACAAAGTGTTCCCTCCCCACCATATTTCCAATGCCAACCTGGCACCATATACAGTTGTTACAATATTATTTACTATATTCCCTATGCCAGTGATGGCGAACCTTTTGAGCTCGGCGTGTCAGCATTTTGAAAAACCCTAACTTAACTCTGGTGCCGTGTCACATATAGAAATTTTTTGACATTTGCAACCATAGTAAAACAAAGACTTATATTTTTGATATTTATTTTATATATTTAAATACCATTTAACAAAGAAAAATAAACCAAAAACATGAGTTCGCGTGTCACCTCTGACACGCGTGTCATAGGTTCGCCATCACTGCCCTATGCTGTACTTTACATCCTGAGACTGTTTTAACTACAAATCTATACTTCTCATACCCTCACCTTTTTCACCCAGTCCTCTAAGCCCTCTCCCCTTTCAACCATCAGTCTATACTCTGTATTGTTTGTTCACTTATATTGTTCTTTAGATTCCACATATAAGTGAAGTCATAGGCATTTGTCTATCTCTGACTAACCTACTTCATGTAGCATAATACCCTCTAGGTCCATCCATGTTGTCACAAATGGTAAGATTTCATTCTTTTTTTAATGGCTGAGTAATATTCCATTGTATATATGTACCACTGCTTTTTTATTCACTTATATATTGATGGATACTTGGGTTGCTTCCATAGCTTGGCTATTGTAAAATGCATATATTCTTTCAAATCAGTGTTTTGGGTTTCTTTGGATACATTCCCAGAAGTGGAATTACTGGGTTATAAGGCAGTTCCATTTTTTATTTTTTAAGGTAACTAACTCCATACTGTTTTCCACAGTGGCTACACCAGCCTGCATTTCCACCAACAGTACATGAGGGTTCCCTTTTCTCCACATCCTTACTAACACTTGTAGTTTCCTAACTTTTAAAATAACTACGCATGACTTTCATAACATATGTTTGTAAATCCCTAGGGATATAATTCCAGTCCTCAGAAATGCAATTTTCCCAAGGATCCCCACAGAATGCATAGCTTCCCCAGACTGCAGGGCCAACCTTCACAGGCAGCGTCAAACCTCAAGGTAGGGCCACAGTGGGAACTCTGTGAGACCAGGAAGATGCAGTGGTCCCAGAGGATCCCTTATGTTCCCATTAGTGCCAAGCAGGTTGCCATTACAGTGACTTTTAAAAGTTACAGTACTGCTTCCAGATGCTTCTTCTAAAAAGGTTGTAAGCCTGACTCCCCCGCCTCCCTGTAGGGTGTGTGTGGATGGGCTTCATATATGGATGAGATCCTGGGGACAGTTTTTTCCTGTCACACAGATCCCACTCGCCAGCAGTGCCTGCTTGGGACACACTTTTCCTTGTTCCTCCCAATGAATCTTGAGGGATTAGTTGCCAGTAGAGGGAATGGCTTTACTTTCAAGTCTCTGAAGGATTTAGGGGCAGGGGAGAGAAAGTTAAAAAGCAAAGTAGAATATTAAGTAGATTGAAATAATAACAAACTTGGAAAAGAAGTGATGACTGGAGAACAGTGAAGAGCATTTTCAAATGACATCAGCTTGGGCTCCTTATTTAAAAACTACTCAGTTGAACTGGACATATATTTATTGTGCACCTACTATGTGCTAAAGCAGCGGTTCTCAACCTGTGGGTCGCGACCCCTTTGGTGGTCGAACAAACCTTTCACAGAGGTCGCCTAAGACCATCCTGCATATCAGATATTTACATTACGATTCATAACAGTAGCAAAATTACAGTTATGAAGTAGCAACGAAAATAATTTTATGTTTGGGGGTCACCACAACATGAGGAACTGTATTTAAAGGGCCAGAAGGTTGAGAACCACTGTGCTAAAGCATCATTGGAGTTTGGCAGACAATGTTTCAGACAGCAGAACAGCTTAGAGAAGACCTGGCAGAGGCTATACACAGACAGCTGTGCTTGATGGAATCTGATCACAGTCGAGCCACATTAGTCAAGGATTCTGTATTTTCAAATTTGCCCAAATTTATTTGTAACTTCAAAATCAACACCCGTGGCACTTCTAAATCCTGCATGGGCATGGGTGAACAAGTGCAGAGTTGCAAAAAATGTGCGTTGTCTATCAGCCTGGCTCCCAGCTGAGGTTGAAAGAGGCAATGCTCTGCCCTTGCTTAGCTCTCTACACAAGTGTCCTTTCCGGGGTCTATTTAGTGCCGTATTTTTCTGCCTTTTTTTTTCCTGTTTAAAATGGCCCCCATGCATAATGCTGAAGTGCTATCTAATGTTCCTAAGCACAAGAAGGCTGTGATGTGTCTCACAGAGAAAATAACGTGTGTTAGCTAAGCTTCATTCAAGAGTAAATTACGTGCTATTGGTTGTGAGTTCAATGCTGATGAATCAACAATATGCATTAAATAAATGTGACTTTAAACAGAAACAAAACACACATAAATCAAGATTATGTATTGATCCATTGACAAAAATGTTGTGACCAGAGGCTCACAGAAACCTGTCAAGCAATGTTGGCACCAATTCGACGTCAACAGGAATCCCCAATTTGGGGTGTGGTGAAGAAGGAAACTTTATTCAGTGCAAAGAGCTCAACTGTGATACAACCGGGCTGTGAGAAAGTGCTCTCTCTCCCTGAGCCAGAGGGGAGCTGACTTATATAGACAGAAGTCTCCAATCCTGGCCCCAATTGGTCTGTCCTTATGTAAATGAGGACTCCAAATCCTTGAAGTTTGATTGGTTTAAAAGGCACACTCTGATTGGTCAGTGAAGATGCTAATGGAGATACAGCTCCGATTGGACAGGAAATGCCTCAGTTCTATTGGTCAAAACAGGATTCCAGGAACTTCTTTATAAGGGCTGGCTCAGATGGCAGGAACACAGTGGAGGCAAGCAGTTTGGGCAGTTTAATGCAGGCTTCTTGTTAAATAAAGTGTGGCTTGTGTGAGAGTCCCCTATTTACAAATGGCTACTAGGTTCTGCTTTGAAATTTGAGCCCAGTTAGCCACAGGAGCCCTTTTTGGTAGGTATCTTCTTTCTTAGGGTTGACAAACCTAATCCTATATTTTCCCTAGGAGCAATAGCTCACTATGTGTTAGTTTAGCGTTTGCAACAACTGTAGAGAATACAACTGTGGCAAATAATGAGAATCAACTGTATTGGGCCTGGTGGGTATGGGGGGTGGAGTTTATAGCAGCAAAGGTTAATCAACTGAAAGCTGATCTGTGAGAACTCTTTCACGTTACACAGTCGCTTGGCTCAGGACTTGCAGAACCCCAAGTGACTATACAGAAAGAAAAATAGCTAACCAAATAAAAAAAGATTTCTCAAATCAAAGGGCATAGGGACAGGTAGGCTTCTGCCTTTTGTGGTCTGAGGCAGCAGGAGGCCTGTGACATGACTTGGAAAGTGGGGCTCTTTTCTTGATATATGAAAAGCCAGACTGGCGGCCTGAACTTTAAGTAATAAAACACCATGGTGGTTTTCCATTCACAATCCGCTTCACTGAGCACTTAATTTAGAATCACACAATTATGTTTGCTTAATGCCAATTAATTATTAAACATGTTTACTCAGGTCTGACAGCCATATAAGAGAGTCATCGTTTATATACTGGATGCCTGTTAAGCTTCAATAAATATGTTAACAATCATTTGGTGTTTAATGTGCATACCATATCGGCTATTAAACCTCAGGGCTAGACTGGTTGAAACACTTATTTTTAAAGTGAGGCCCAGGTTGGTGATAGCTGGATCATTAGTTGGATTTGACACTCAAGTGCAATCAGCCAAAGGGGCCCACGGAGGCCACGCAGCAGGACTGGCAGGGCCCAGGAAGAGGTCTGCCTTCCCAGCTGACAGCTCAGAGACCCTGGAGTCCCCCTGCCTCGGGGTTCACCTCCTGGCCCCACAGTCCGTGAGCTGTGCCACCTCAAACATGTGCCTTGATGTCTCTGAGCCTTAGCATCCTTCACTGTAAAAATATGACACCAATAGTATAGCTTTTTACTGTTATTAAATACACATTTAACTTAGGGAATTCAAATATATGTGTTTGGCAAAAAAAAGATGGCATGAGGGGG